AACCCCAACCCCAACCCCAACCCTACCACGTGCCTCTCGTTTCTCCACAAAAGGCAGCTGGGAGCATGTGATCACCTACTGGTACCGTACCGAACCAACCATCTGTCTGCAGCTGGATCTTTTCGTCCGACTAATAAGGCTCATTAATTGCCTGAAGGTGTCAACAACATTTTTCACCACGAGATCCAGCGCTTGGAATCGTTAAAGGAGAAGGAAGTCGAAAGCCTAAATGAGTAGAATACTATTGCTTTTTTAATCACTTGTCTCCGTCGCTATACTATTTGATCAAAACAAGCATGAAGTTCGCATCTGCCGCATTGATATCTCTGCTCTCTCGACCGCTGGCTTCTGCCAATCTGAGCGTCAATCCTGGTGCGCTCGAGGCTGCCATTGGTTGCAACCAAGAACTTGGCGACCTCGAATTCGTTTTCTTGGAGGACGATGCCGTCGTGCGATCCATCGAAGATGATGTCCGTTCGGATCTCGCCGAGATTGGTTTCAATGTCGTAGCCAAGCCATTGTCCAAGGCTGACCTCAACACGGCTCGACAGAGCGGAGACTTTCATCTCTCCATTAGTGAAACCTGGGGATTGCCGTACGACCCTCACTCGTTTGCTCAGGGTTGGATTGATGGTAATGGTGGAGAAGGCATCTTTCCCGCAATGGTAAATCTTGATGCTCCATCGAGTCGCGAAGAACTCTTGGACATGGTCGAGGATGTTCTCCAAACAGACAACCCCAACACCGCAAGATCCAAGTGGTACGACATTCATAAGTACTACCACGAGCAAGCCGTATTGCTGCCACTGTACGGAAAGCGCATCCCCACCCTTTTGAACCGACGCTTGAGTGGATATGAGCCAGGATATCAACAATTTGACTATCCTGTCCAACGCCTGCGAGTTGTCTCGGGATCCAAGAACGTTACCATTTCTCCGGGGGCCCGCGCCGGTCTCTTTCACACCGTCGGAACCATGAATCCCCACGTGTATGGGCCCAATGAGTTCTTTTCCAACAACTGGGTGTACGAGGGCCTCGTTGCCTTTGGACCCAACGGGGAGGTCGTTCCCTCTCTTGCCGTGTCGTGGACTGTTACACCCAACGAACTCGGTGGGGACACATATACCTTCCAACTCCGCGAGGGCGTCACCTTCCACGATGGAGCCGCCTGGAACTGCGATGTGGCCAAGCTCAACTTTGATCACATTTTGGCCCTTCAAGATACCAAGCACAATTGGTACGGTGTTGGTACCAAGACCGAAGATTGGTCCTGTAACAACGAAATGGAATTTGTCTTGCGCACCAACGAGAAGCACGAATCTTACCTGAACGAGCTCTCTCTGATTCGTCCGACCCGCATGATGTCTCCAAACGCCTTTGTCGGAGGAAATTCATCGGATCCATTCACATCCAACTCGTGCCACACCGATTGGGGTACCGTTGGTGACGTCAATTGTGTTGGTATTGAGACCGTTGCTGGGACAGGTCCCTTCAAGTATGTGTCCAAGCAAGAAGCCGATGGCACCACAAACCGGGTCACCTTCGAGGGCAACACTGCTTGGTGKGGTGGTACTGTGGACATTGAACGCCTCGAAATTGTTCGATACACAAGCGATGTCGAAGTTTTAGAAGCTCTCTTGAGTGGAGATCTCGACATTGTTTGGGGAGCCGGTGTCTTGTCGGATTCCGATATTTTGGAGATTTCTACTGATCCCGTGTATTCCGAGCGAATTCAGGTTGGACAGTCCGATCCTATTCAGACTGCCATGCTGATTTTGAACACAGGTGCTCCTCCCTTTGATGACATTAATGTTCGCAAGACTGTCATCCACGCAATCAACAAGGGTGATATTATTCAAAAGGAACTTCCTCTTGCCTCGGTTGTGGACAATGTCTTCCCTCGAGGAGCTCCTTACTGCGACGTCGAATTGACCCCTCGTTGGTCTTACGATTTCGAGAAGGCCGTTCTTTTGAGTTGTGGTGGAACTTCCCTTGAATTTGCTTCCAATGAAAACCTTGATCTTGCTCTTGGCCTTGGTCTCGGAATTCCTCTCGCCCTTGTTGCAATTGTTGCCGTTGTGCTCTATAGCAAGAACAATTCTCTCAAGCAGGAACTTGAGGTGAAGATGAAGGAAGGTGCCCAAAGTGCTTAAAGTAGTCTAGCAAATGAGGATAGTTTCCGTGTCATTTATAGGATTTGTATGCTAAAGATTGACTCATCATACACATTATTTTACTAAGTTCCTCCCCAGTTAGTATTTCAACACACACTTGTAGAGTTGTGGCGGTTTTCCCTGGAGTGCAATTGTAGATTGGATGTAGTACACTTACATGGTGGGTGCCACAATGACGATTAGTAGTGTAGTAATCAGCAAGATTTTGCTAACCAGATGCAGCTCTATCCTTTTTCAAATGGAGATGCATGCCAATAGCTGGGGGTTGGGGTCAAGATTCCCTTCTTTGCTGTGCTGCTGCTGGTATGTAGGGAGGTTGCAGTTGGAGGTTGTTGATGTCCTACTAATTCAATGAGACATTGTCAAATGCTCAGTGCTTCCTGCTGTGGTTTAAAAAATAATGCTCCTACTTCAGCCTCCTCTGTGGCTGAGGACATGATATTATTTTGGATTGTTGGTTATGCCAGGATGGGTCCATTGAATGTGGTAGATTTAATGTAGACCCATGTCACTTCCCCAAAACAGCACTGTAAAGGCCCACATAATATTGACAGAACAGACTGGTGGTGGTGTGGACTGCTGAAAAGAAAACTGGTCCTACAGATTGCAGGAAAGTTTCTCTTGTATGCATGAGCAGTGAATAACACCACTATGATACATGCAATCATAAATATAGTAGCTGCAAGCCCCCTAAAACAAGCAACAGTTTCAGGAGCAAAATGCAGCCTGTAACCCAGATGCTGAAGTTATTTACACTGGTGACATGAGAAGTAAGAAACATTTGATGAGTAGGATTACAAATCCGCTGCATACAAATCCTACATATGACAACAAGGAGAACATCCTTCTGAGTATGAAAATACAATCTGGACCCAAGAAAACTCAGACACAAGTCCCACTTGGGAATAAGCTAGCAACCAACCAGATACCAACTTGATACTAAAAACCAAGTCAATCAAGCCACTCATGGTCACCCAGAAAGCACTCCAAACAATCACCAATACAACGTTTGAACATTCTGGTTTATGTAAAACATTGGGATGTTACTATAGTTGGTGAAAACATTGCTATAATTGGTGAAGTATAAACACGCAGTGTGTATATTCTCCTATTCTCAATACAGGATGGTGGTTGTTACTCTGCTCCTCCCCCACTGACTCTGGACGCATGATGTCAATTTTGGCAGAATATCTTCAGCTTACTATGTGGAATCATATTAGCTACAAAGGCATAGAAAGAGGGAAAGTAATGGTGTTGGGAATGTCACTCTCAGAGACTGTCAATGATGAAAATTGTTGGAGTGTTTTCACGACACAGACAAGGAGGTGAGGATTAGTATTTTTCATGCATCCACAATAACGCTGAGTGACTTCAAGGTTTGATGAGGAATGAAGGAATTTTAATATATTTATTCTTCAATAAGGATCTAACAGTAGTCATCAAATAGTTGATGGTGTTGTACTATTTGTAAAATGCACACCAGTATCATCATGCCAAATCTGGTTTGTCGTGTGATGAATGACCAGCACCACCATTTCTCATGGTAGAAAGGTAGCTGCAAAGAAGCCACAGGAAGAAAGATGCAGTGGAAAGTATGAATGAGTGAAGAGAAACTAATGTGAAGAAGTAAAGCATACTAGGTATCCTAGTAATTCATCAGTGAGGAGGAGATTGAGGAGGAGGAAGAAGAAGTTCTCTGTTATCGTCAGTAGTAGCTACTACTAGTACTACTAGTAGTAGTATCATCACAATGTCAACAAGGAATGGTTGCAGTTGCAGAAGTTTTTGCCAGGAGCATTGGAGTCACTTCAACCATCAGGTGTAGTGATTTGTTTTAAATATTTCAATGTATTTTCTAAAATATTCGTGTAATATTTTTCATTGTGACGAGAGGGATGTGTGAAAAAGTACAGTGCTGTACTTAGTATGCGGGTGGCAAACATTTTTGCAACACTCCTACTCGTGATTTACGCTCACACACGCAACCGGAAAAATAGAAGACTTCGGACGTTTCACGTGTCGATTCAAAAGAATGTTGTCCAGCGCTACCGGTACTCTCGTACTCGTACGTGAAGGAAAGCACAATGCTGGCAAGCTATCGGCTGTCAATTTTTTTTCTTCACATCAGCAACAAACAAACCACTTCTGCGATGTCTGATGCACCGAGAGTAAATCACTTACACCATGCGCCGCTACCCTAGCACTCCTGCGTTTGTATTTTTGATAGCTGCATCTTTTTCCTTGCTCCCACTGCGACAACTAACCTGTAGCGGAAGTGAAGATGCTTCTTTTCGAAGACCTCCTCCTCCACCACCACCCGGATCATCGTTCAATACAGTATCTGACATAGGGAGGGGGTACAGAAACGATGCAAATAAGGAAGGTCCAACCAGTAATGGCAGCGCCGAAAGTTATGGCTATGACGATATGCAGCACCGTCAGAAACAGCAGCAACAAGAACGAGAGGAACTTTCATCGTCGTCGCATTCGTCCAGATATCCCTTTGAATACAGCACCGAAAGCGTCGGTGGACCCACACATACTCAGTCACAAGTTGACCGTTCTTCTTCTTTTCGAGAACGAGAACAAAAACAGCAAACGTCGTCGTTGCCCATTCATTATGACTTCCCGATCTCCGACGATGGTGCAACAGAAACTATGGGTAAAGGAAGTATGCAACGGCAGAGAATCGACAATACTAGAGATGGTGTAGATGATGAAGAAGGCATGACTTCATCAGCACGCAAGGACTTAGTCACGCGACACTGGTCTACGAAAAGAGGAAAGGTTCAAATACAAACAGTTATTGGCTTGGTTGGGTACGGATCGGGGAGATTTTTCTTAAAGGTAAGGATCTTTGAATTACTCTATTTCTAGGTATACATTTCCCTTTCTTTTTTACACCAGCCGCACGTCCACAAAAGGTGAATGTCTGCGTTGATTGACTAATAATTCTTGTTTGTCGTTTCTACCTTTTCCATATTTCTCTGTGCTCTTTGCACATGGCTGCCGTTGATCTTGCGGGTGCTCCCGAATTAATGACAACGATGGTTTGAAATACGAGAAGTCTCTAATGGGGGATTCTGATATGGTCCAATGGTTGGGATGTTTTAGTGCTGTTGCTTTCATTGTTTCGACGTGGTTCCGAAGTCCAATAGGAGAATTGAGCCGTGCTGTGGGACTAAGCCTAATCCTTGTCCTACAAAGAACGCAACGAATCCGTAGGGAATATCCCACATGGAGGTACGTGGCTGCATCGGTGGGAATGATTCGGGGAGGTCCCCGAGACGCTCGCGGCAAGCCAAGGGGACCGCGCCCGTTCCCACCAGCCCGGAATCCCTGGAAGTATAGTCCACGTTCACCACGAGATCCCGATTTCAACATGACGTTCGCTCTGGCGAGTATGGCTATGGTTGGGAGTGCTGTCGGTGGGAATTTGCCCTTCATCCCAAATTGGATAGGCGCAATAATTGGGGCGGCTTTCTCTGCGTTTGCCTGCACATGGCAGGAAAGCCATCGCGGTGATTTGGCGCGAACCATGGGTATGCGAGTGGTCCGAGTGGTGACTGAACTCTGGGAGATACAGGCTGACCTCCAAATCATTCCAAAAGCAACGGTCGTGAGCTCACAGATAATCGATAAGGCAATGATTTTGGATCGAAAACATCGGGTAAAAGACCGGTTTCTTTCGTTGGCCACCAAGGGTTATGCTCAGGCCACGAGAGTGGCAGAACAAGTCCAACAACAACAGCGAGGAGCCAAGTCTAGCGAAGGCAGAAACGAAAGAGTAGAGAATGATCGTGTCATGCCACGGGGAGAAGATGACGAGTCAATTAGAGGCGGACAACGAGGTGGTTATGATCGGGGCCGAGACGAAAAGGGGGATCGATATTTTGACGGAAAACCTGAAAACGGAAGGCGACTAATGCCAAGAGATAAGGATGGCAGGGATAGCTATGACTTTCGCGAAAGACAGGGGCCACGTCGGCGTTACGAGGACGACGATGATTTTGACGGTAGTAGAAGACGCGATGCATACAATCACGACAAGGATTCTAAGGATTATTTTCGATGATCAGAATGTCACGACACTGAAAATGACGACTATTTTAAAAAGCTAAGGTGGCCAGTAACCACGTTTCGGGGAAAAAGAGGAAATCAAATTACTGATAGCTATTGTTTGTTATCGAAAGTTGAAGCTTTTTCTTGCCCGTTACGCCAGTTACTTCTCCCTGTACTTTCGAAGAGATTCACACGATAATTGATCTTTAAAAAAAAAAATACCATTATGGTTCACACTTTAGTATTACTTGCTGTGTCACAAGTGATAGTTTAGTTTCTATTATCGTTGACGGATTCGTTGAGCGATTCAAAGTTTTCGGGGCCTTGATAGCCCTGTGGTGTTCTCATTGACGAACTCTAGGAGTGCGAGGATGACCTTGATGAGGATCAACAGGGTCCATTTCTCTAGCTGTTATTTGTCGATAGATGGGCATGGAAGAGTGACGGCCCAATCCAAACCATGGCGAGAGAGAAAGTAAAAAAAATCTTAATATTATATTTAACCTCGTGAACTAGAAGAGGCACTTGGGTGGCCAGAACCATAGCTTTCGTTAGAAAGAATGCTTCTAGCTGCTCCGAGGGGCGGCGCCTTCCTCCGAGGAGGTTGGTGTGGAGGCGCGACCGATGACGAGAGAGAAAGTAATCATTAGCGGCACCATCGGTTTAGTTGTTTTTGCCATGGATGTCGCTCTACTAGTTATTGTAGGTCGAAAATTTCTAAATAGTATAGTTAGGATCGAAGTACCTGGCAGAAGCCATGCCTGTCCATATAGGTCTTATTTCTACACGCAACATGTACCGATCGTTTGCCACCAAAGTGAGTGCTCAGTACTCAAGAAACTATCAAGTCAAATTGATTCCTAACGGAGAAATACTAGTACCATGATATTATTCTGTACGATACTTCCTGAGAACGAAATACATCATTTTGAAGCTATTTAAAAAGCCTGCACTTCACTGCACAACAACACACTGTGTGCCTACTATTTTCTTAGCAAGCATTACATGCCACCGGACACGAAATTCGAACGTCGGTGCCGTTCCAATTCTTATCGCAAAGTCGGGGCCTCTTGCGAGCTTTTTTCTTAACCCAGTTACAATCCTTCTTGGCTTTGCCCTTGAATAAAAATGTGGAATCGTTTTTGCAACCGCTGTTGTTGTCGTTGTTCGAACACTGGTCACACGCCAAAGGGCAGGATTCGGACACTCGTTTCCCTCTGGAGGTTTTGCTACAGTGTGTTTCTCGCTTTTTCTTGATCCAAGTGCAATTCCTTCCGGCTTTTCCACGAAAGAGGAAAGCCTCATCATCCTCACACTCGGATTCATTGTTTCTTGGTGGCGTAGGTACTGCAGAAGGTACAGGAGTTGGAACTGTCGATGGCACAGAAGTTCTCTTGGCGTTCTCGATGCAAACCCTTTGACTGTAGCAGTCTTCGCTCCCCATGGACATGTCGCATATGCTGTCCATTACATCTTGCATCAACTGGATGGATGTCTTGCTAGTCCCGCAGCCTGCAATCTCGATTGTGCTCCCGTCGTAGATTTCGAAGAATGCAGAATTCACATCTGTGATTCCGCTACCGGAAACTACGTGCGTATACACACAGCAAAGGGCATTCGCCATAGCTGTCTCCGCAACCGAACCTGTGAGACACAACTGTGGCAACGTAAGCGTCCTGTGCGTTGCCCACGAATTCGGCCGATCCGAGTCACACGTTGGCAGCATTGCAGAAGTTCGCCGTGATCTTTCTAACTCGACAGCGCACGCGAAGATCTGTCGAGAAAGAAGAATGAGACCACACAAAAGAAAAATATTCATCTTTATGAAACAATGGTACTCGTACTGTAACTGGGTCGAGAGTTTCTGAAATCCCCGCTAAACTGTTTCTTGAAAGGTACTACCAGGTACTCAGCAGGCGAGAAGAAATATGCTTTCTATAACACTTTCACCGTATCGGACCAAAGAAAATACCGTAGGTATTTGTTTCTCGATACAAGAAAGAGGTTGCGACTGTGACAACAACATAAGGTACAGGTGCGAATTCCGTATGAATACGTTTGGAACTCGTATTTGTCCAGAATCCAGAATGGATGGGAATTGGGGTACTGGTACATTACTGTAAATGGTACTCGTTCGTATCGCTAACTCGTACCAAGTACGTGCGAATTAAAAATTAAAAACTGGGAACAGATCGAATTTTGTTCTGTACCAGTTCTCGTACATTCAGGTACAAGCAGTAAGCGAAGAAACTTCACATTCCTGATCTGAGTCACAGCAATATCAAAAGTACAGCCAGACCGTACGATTTAAATATATTTTTATTGTGTAATTTCTCGCTGATCCCAAATATTTCTTACGTATCAGGGTGATTGAATAGTGCTCGTATGTACTTGGGGTGACCCCTGCATGGGGTTGGGTTTTATCAAACAATCACGAACAAGGCAGAAACTGCAACGAGCACGGGTCCTCAAGCTTAAATATTGGTCGCGTAGAACATAAGGCATATGAGAGATATTAGAGGTGGCCAGCACCTCCCTCGATGGATGGTCAGAGGCATCATTCTCCTTTATTTAACCGAAAACGTCGCATAATCGACACCTTTTTATCCATGTCGAATCTATTCACACGGTTGGTGGAGAAACAGAAACCACAAAAAATCATGTCACGAAGGTAATTCTGGACAATCACCCCACACACCTGGTTGGCAGCACTATATTTGTTTCTTAACATGCATGATTGCTACACCAAGAACAAACACCAAGTAAAGCTTCATAGTGAACATAATATATACTATATTTTTGGATTTTTTACGACACAACAAAGAAAGGAATGCGGCATTCCATGACGACGACCTGAGAGTGGACGACGATCATGCATTGGTCTCCTCACACATCCTTTTCCATCACTTCTTTTCTTTTTCTTTCTTTCTTTCGCATTCATGTAGTATCGGTATCGAAAAAGAAGACATTTGCAAGTTTTGTTTACTTCGTTTGCCATTCATTTGTTAGTAACATATAAATATCATAGCAGACAAAACTTACTTTTTGGAATTCAAATCAATTATTTTTTTTGGGATAGAAACGAATCTGTTCTAGAACATAAACTTCACCATCGATAGGGTCAAAAATCGTTCTATCAAAGTTGAAGTACCCGCTATGGTAATCAAGCAAGTTTCCAGTTCCACCGGAAATGACGCCCTGGTATATTGGGGTTGGGGAGGTGTTGGGGTTGGGGTTGGGGTTGATATCGCCGGAAAAAAGCCCAATGATGGATGAATTGACGCCCTTGAGCTCGAAATCGAACGCTAGCATACAATTGCCTTGTTCTGGTTCGTAATTGATTGGGTTGTAATCTGTAACGGTGCACGTAACCGTGGCTCTACCAACCATGGCCGATGCATCKGTGGCCTTGCTGGCAACGTTGTCCTTGTTGATGCTTCCAATTCGGAAAAGACTGAAATGGTTGACAATAGTAGCACCCATCATTGAGGGTACACCAGAAGTAGGATCGTTCAGATCGATAGTCTTGACCTCGTTACCAAGAGTGATAATACCTTGCGACATCATTCGCACAGAATCGAATTGAAAAATCAAGCTTGGCGGTTCTTTGTTTGTTCCACCGACGTTCTTCGGACTTTTGCCATTGGATTTCTTATTCTTATTCTTTTTCGATGCCTTGGATTTCTTCTTAGGTGCCTTGGTTTCACCCCCGTGAGATGGGGAAGAGAAAGCAACAATAACGAACACAACGGCGAGAAACGCCTTGAGAGTTTTAGAAGACGAGATGGACATGGCGGGATGATGGAATGAAATGTATGGAAAGATCACTTCGGATACCATATGGTGATGCCAAAATTTGTTCTTCAAGAAAGATTTCTTGTTCCGTTGCTCGATTGACACCACCGAGCATGTTGTTGCGTGATAAATAACGAGTAAGTACGTAGTCAGTGACCATCATGCTCGAACTCGATTCTTTTTTGTAAATACATAGATTATTCGAAATACTACCGAAGAGCACAAGTATTTCGCAATAGCCCTTGCACAAAAGAACGTAGGTTCGGGTCTTACCGTACTGTAAGTTGTAAGTTGTACGGTAGGACGAACTTCGTAATTTGGTATCAAAAATGTCAACATGGCACTCATGTGATCTTCCATCTTGATGGACAGACAGTACGTGATACGTACGTCTTACGTACATGTCGAGTAGAAACGTCAACACTCTACATACATACGGTACAGTACGATACGTACGTAGTGCTAGGCAATTGTATTGGCAAGCACTGTATCCTTTAGCATTGGTCGATTGGGTAACTCGTACGGTACTTGGTACCGTAGGTGCGATTAATTTTTGTCGCTTGTCATTGGCCGTATGCCAGATCAAAGAACGAGTGAATCAGCTGCTTTGGTTCGTCGCGTGGACGCTTTTTTGGTCCGCAAACAGCTGCATCACTGCAAGCGAACAGTCCATCCGTGGTTCTCGTGCTGTGATATGTGCGCTCTGGTATGCTGACGTCCCGAATTTCAAATCCGCGACTTCACAACATTATTCGATTCGATGATTCGATTCATTTAAGCATTTGTCCATTCGTGACGAAAAGATTTGTTGTACTGGAATGAATACGGTACTTTACTGTACGTAGACCACCTTCCAATTGAAGTGCAAGTACGTTTTTCTTTTTCTCTTGACGAGCAATGACTGTTTTGGTATTAGGAAGCTCGAGTAGTACGAGTACGTACGTACAGGGTTTTGACTTTCTCCGAATGAGAAACGAGAAAAAATTGGAAAACGCGACACCTGACTTTGATTGTTGAGAACAGTAATGTACGTACCAGGTACGTACCCCTACGAATACAGAATAATACTCGAACTCGTACTCGTACGTTACCGCGTAATTCAACTTTCGTAGAAAAAGCGTTCTTTCTTAGAGTGGTGCGGTCTTCGTGTCTCTTTAATTTTCTCGCTGCTTTCTCGATTCTCAATATATATCTGTTCTCAGTCCTGCAGGAATGCCGTACAAAATTAGAATTGCATTGCGGCATTGTTTTCTTGGAACAATACAGAAATACTTTTTTCGAAGTATAATAGTATTACAACATTACAACACACTGTTCGTCCGTGTCGAGAGATCAAGAACGTACTCGTATCCACGCGGTGCAGGCACATCTCCATCCAACCTGAGACAGTATAGTTTGATGCACCAATGTCGTTTCCACAAGGTAATTCTACTCCAAAGCTAGTTGGCAGCAACAGCATCAATGATCCATTGGCTGCAGCCCTTGCAGCTGCCGCGGCCCTTGCGAGAAACGGAGGAACTTTTCTCCACGAGCCGTTTTCTGGGACCGTGCCCGGGGTGGGTGCCATTGTTCCTGTTTCCGTTCCTGTTTCTGTTCCTTCCACTCCATCCAATGTTGTTTGTGCGCATTCGCTATCATCGTCGTCCGCATCAGCGCCTGCCTCTGCTTCTGTGTCTGCGTCCACATTCGGCAGCGTTGGCGGAAGGAAGACTCCGAAGAAGAGCGAACCGTTCGATGCGAACAGCAATGGAAACAATAGTGGAAACAACAGTGGAAACTCCAACGGCGATGACAAGGACTGCGACCAGGGCCATTCGAGCGGCAATGCAGCGAAGACCAGGAATGACATTACCCTTAACCTTAGCCGCAATATCAGCCGCAATATCAGCCGCAATATCAGCCGCAATATCAGCCGCAATATCAGCCACAATATCAGCCACAATATCAGCCACATTGCTAGCGCCAAGCCAAGCCAAAACGACGTCGAACAAGAACAAGACCACGAACACGAAGCGGAACGACGCATGGCCCGAAGCCGGGAGCGGAATCGCGAACACGCTCGTCGCACACGCCGCAGGAAGAAGGCGCAGCTCGAGGCCCTCCAGGCGAAGCTCCGCTGCCTCCAATCCAAGAACAAGACACTCACGCAAAGCCTGGAGGATTGCCGGATCGCCTCGATTCTAGTGGGCTTTTCCGTAGGCGACGGCGACGATCGGGACGCTACGATCCAGTCGCTCCTCGAAGAAGCGATCGAAATTGGGGAAAGGGAGATTTTCAAGCGACTGCTGAGATCGAAACGAACGAGATTTGTTTCGGATGCCGATATCCTCCACGGCGGCAATGTCGATGCCAGTGCCAGTGTTCACAACAGCAACAGCAACAGCAACATCGAAGCCTGTCCCCCCCATGCGTCGCTGCCCCTCAAGATCGAGATCAATGGAAAGATCGTCGTCGTTGGAGGAGGAGAGTGCCCGTCGCATCTCAACTGGAAAACGGGGGTTGTCACCGACGAAAACGGTGTAAGGACTCTTCTCACCAACCAGCAGCTGGAATCTCTCCGGTACGTTTTTCTTTGCTGCACTGCATTTACTAGCTACTGCTACTTCTGGATAGCTCGGTGGTCCCTTGTTGCTCGTTTCGTGTCTCGTTTTTCTTTCTTCGTCTTCTGATCACAACCACTCTCTGCCATTCTTGTCATCGATGTTCGACTGTTTCCTTGATGTTTCAGGCGAGAGCGAAACCGAATGCATGCCAAGATGACTCGCGATCGCAAGAAGTCCTTCATTGCCACCGTCGAAAAGACAATCGAAGAACTGGAATCGAGCAACAAGCGCATGGCTGCCGCCTTGACCGATGTCATTCATTTCCAGAGATCACCACCTTGCTCACCCGCCGCCACCACACTGGTGTCCTTCCGGAACGAGAACGACCACGACCACGACCACAACCGCGAGCACAACCACGGAAATGACAACGCCAACCACACCGAACCCGAGCGCAACAGCGATGGCAGCAATCGGCACGGCCAAAATCCACCGGGCAGTGTGACCCCATGCGGCTCACGCTCACCGGCTCCTGCTGCGGGAGAACGAGATAGATACACCTCGGTTGCTCTCTCGTCCGTCCCCAGTCTGATACCCGCTCCGCCAGATTCGTTCGTGACCTTTGTGGATGGAGATAKGGATGGGGATGGCAACAATCATGGAGACGGAGATAGAAATGGGAATAACAATGGCATAGTCAACAACAATACCAAACTGGACTCCGAACAGCTTCCTCCTCCAAAACGATTTTGTCATGGATTTTCCATTGCGCCGTACTAATGATGCAATACGTTTCTAGTACAGATACTGCAGCTGTCGCCACGGTCATCACCCAAGGGGAAACCATCATGCACCGTATTGTTGGGATTCAGTAGAATGCCGAACCAAATCACGCTCTCGGTCGATCGGTTCTCGAACCACAGCGCAACGACTGAAGACAAGGGGGTATACCGTATGATCGCACTGCAAATTTAGACAGGAGAGGCCACAACGTGACGGTATGTCGTTTCCACCCCGTTACAGTTTCAAAACGTTGCAACACAGAAATGAAAGGAAAGGAGCAAATATGCACTCTATGTTCATAGCATTTCCTCCATAGCACCCTTCACACACAGACAATCATGCACGACCACATCGAAGTATATGTTCGGTTAAAATTTACATATGAGCTTGGCGGCAGCACACTACACGATACTGGACCGAACTGGACCGGACTGGACCGACGGGAACTCACTGTATGACCGCCATTTTTCAACAATCGTCTGCTACTGGATTGGTCTCGTGACTGATCGCCGATAAAATTTCGATCCACTTGTCCAAAATCTCCACGCAATATTCATACATCGTTTACGGCGCCTTGCGACCAGAGAGTATGACTGGACAAAATGGTAGAGCCAAAGATATCTTAGATAAAAACCGACGAAAAAGGAGACGATTACGATCAGGATGATTAAACGAATCAAAACGAACGCTGTCGTCCCCTTTGTAACATCAACCACAACACACGAAAGACATAGTCCTCGCTACTTCATTACTTGGCCCCATGGGTCGTACACTACTATTAGCTACAGACCAGCAAAGCGTGCACTTCGAAATTTGGCGTCTAGATATGGGTGGAGTCACGTACAGAGTTGTTTTAAGATTGCCTGTTTACCGTACTCGTGCGCGACCTGCGCTTGGTGAAATGTTTGGTAATTTGCATCGTCCTAAATCATTTATCACATTGATCATTATAATTTTTTTTCTCATCACGGATGACTCCAAGAGGGCGTTCACTTGACCGGCTTACTGGAAGGCACCCGGTTCTTGCTCTGGAGGTTCATCCAGATTAGGTACCTCGCCATAAGCTGCACTATAATCAAGACTCTCTTTGCTGATACCAGCGTCTTCGTCGACGTCAATCAGGAAGCTCTCTCCATCGAGTTCCCTTTCAATTTCGACAACGTATTTGCCCGAGTTAGGATCTTTCAAGTTCACCTTCGCCGAATCTCCTTCCTGGATAAAATCGCTCATGATTGCCTCGGCCATGGTATCCTCTAGGTATCTTTGCACCGCGCGGCGGATAGGTCTGGCACCATACGTGCTTGCACCTCCGAGAGCTTCTCTGGTTACGACTTCGGCAATGTTGTCGGAAACGGTCAGCGTGATGCTCGAGTCATCGGCGACACGCTTGACTGTGTTGTCGATGAGGTTTCTGGCAATGGCCTTGAGCTGGTCGTACGGCAAGGGAGAAAAGACAATGATTTCGTCTATTCGGTTCAAAAATTCGGGTCGCATTGCTTCTTCTAGTGCACCCTTCACAACGTCTGAGGTTAGTTGGGATTCATCCTCCACTTCCTGTGACATGGATCTAGCGGCCTCGACAATGTTTTTGCTGCCAATGTTGGAGGTCATGACGAAAATATTGTTCTTGAAGCTTACGGTGCGACCCTTTCCATCGGTCAGTGTACCTTCATCCATCACTTGAAGCAACAGGTTGAGAACATCCTCGTGTGCCTTCTCCAACTCATCGAAAAGAATCACCGAATGCGGGCTTCTTCGCACCGCTTCGGTCAACTGGCCCCCTTCTTCGTAACCAACGTAACCCGGCGGGGCGCCAATCAAACGACTGGTCGAAAATCGATCCATGTATTCACTCATGTCGATACGAACCATGCTTTTTTCTTGTCCGTAATATGTCTCCGCAAGTGCTTTGCAGAGTTCGGTCTATGCAAGACGCGGCAGCAGCAGTAACGGTGAAAAACAATTAGTATTTACCTCCGAGACAACCTTGGATTCACAAAAATGCAACTCAACATCGTGCAGTCGCGCTATTCCATCTCACCTTTCCAACACCGGTTGGACCGCAGAACAAAAGACTGGCAACCGGTCGCTTTCCGTCTCGCATGCCACTTCGTGCTCGGCGAATGGATTTCGCAACAGATCTGACGGCCGGACTTTGGCCCTTGATTCTCTTCTCGAGTTCCTCTTCAAGATTCTTCAGCCGTGCCTTCTCGCCGGTGTCGAGCTTTCCTACGGGAATTCCCGTAAGTTCGGCAACCACAGCTTGAATCGAGTCTTCCGTGACATAGTAGGATTCGCCGTCCTCCGCCATCTTCACCATTGACCCGGCTTCGTCGATCATGTCGATCGCTTTATCTGGCAAAAACCGATCGTTGATGTATCGGTTGGAGAGTTTGGCTGCGGCAACAAGCCCGTTGTATGTGTATTTGACGCCATGGAAGTCCTCGTATTTCGGAGAAATAGCTCCCAGGATGTCGAGCGTCTCGTAAACCGTCGGCTCTTTCACACTTAGAGGCTGAAATCGTCTCTCGAGGGCGCCATCCTTTTCGATGTACTTTCTGTATTCGGGTGTTGTAGTAGCCCCCATCAAACGCAGTTCGCCTCGTGCTGAAAAGAGAGCAACCAGAAGGGGAAAAAAAAAAAATATATATATATATATAGTATATAATATGTTAGATGCAAGTCAGCTGTTGTGCCTCCAGGGTTCGAACAGCAGAGTGGTGTTGTGTAAACGAAGGGGCAGGATTATCTGACGAAACACTGCAATTTTTCTTCGTACCTAATGCTGGCTTCAATAGATTCGCGGCGTTCATGGCGCCGTCGCCTCCACCTCCTGTCCCGATGAGGTTGTGGACTTCGTCGACGAACAAAATGACGTTTTGTTCCGAAGCCTCCTTGATCAGATTCTTCATCTTCTTTTCAAAGTCACCACGGTTGCTGGTTCCGGCCACGAGCCCCGCCAGATCGATGCTGATGACACGAGCACCCACAAGAGACGCAGGACACGGTGGGAGATCATACACAAACTCCTCGTCGCCGCCTTCACCAACAGTTTCGGCAGTCGAAGATGCTCCGTTTGCCGAGGAGCCCTTGTTGCCCCCGCTCACAAAGTCACCGATTTTGCTTCCTAGCTTGGATATGGGATTGCTCGCTTTTTGGGCGTTTTGCATCTCCTTCAGTCCATTCGCCAGGACTTGTGCCACGCCTTCGGCGATGGCAGTCTGTGGTGGAAGAGGTTGTTGCGTACACCAAACACAAAGAATCATCGGTATGAACAGCTGAGTGGTATTCGGGAACCAAGGAACCAACCAGCGAACCACGACAACACAATGCCACAATGCACAAACAATGCACAAACAATGCACAAACAATGCAGAAAACAACAATCATACCCTCCAAAAACGAGCGAAACCCCGTGGTGTCCCCGTACGTACCTTTCCTACACCCGGATCACCGATCAAACAAGGATTGTTCTTCCGACGGCGGCCCAGTGTTCTCAGCGCACTCCGGATTTCTTTGTCCCGTCCAAAGACCATGTCAAACTTTCCGTCCATGGCCATCTGCGTCATGTCGACCCCCACATCGTTCAGCGTGGTAGTGGATCCTGCCGCGGCCTGGCTGCCACCTACCACCACGGTGTCCTTCACAACCAGGTCTTCTCCGGCACCGGAGATGGGCGTCATGGGGAGAGCGTTGACTAAGTCCGAACAAAACTGGGTGACGGTGAATCCCCCGGTTTCCTTGTTGACCTTTTTCAGCGCCGGGATCGTTCTCAGGAGGTCCATCACGGGAACGGTCTCGATTTTTTTTCCGCTGTCGTATCCCAGCAGTGCCAGGAGCACGTGCTCCGATCGGACGGCTCCGTTGGGAGCCTCGAGGCGATCGGCAATAGTGCAGGCCTTTGTGAGAATGATGCGGGCTTCCTCCGAAAAGGGAAGCGGTTCGTTGAGGTTGTCTCCGTTGAAGCCCGGGTCCGGATCCAGGTCCTCCTTCTTGAACTTGAGCGTCTTGACCGCCGACATTTCGATCTCGTCCAGGTCGTCGAGTTTGTATCGCTGGAGGGTCCTTGCCGCGCGTTCGGGATTGGCGACGATGCCCACGAAAATGATTTCGTTTCGCAGTGTTTTGAGTCCGATGGATTTCCCGATTTCGTGGGCCTTTTGGATGGCGGCCACGCAATCGTTGGACATGCGGTCGATGGCCATGGAAAGCCGGGTTTTTGTGCTCGATTCAGCTGCAGTTCCCGCGGCTCTTCGTGTTCGTGTTCGCCTCTGCAACGCCAGCTTGGTTTCGCCTGCATTGTCTACCGACAGCCTTCCGGTAAACGCCGAGGACGAAGACAGCCGCCCATTCCGGGAGGAGAGGACCACCGGTGCGGAAAAGGCTTCCGCCACTTGTGTTCGAACCAGCAGTGCGTTGTTGTTGTCGTTGTTATTTTCCGTGGCGCAGAGAACGGCCGCCAGCAGAGCGATCGACCGCAGTCGGTGCGAAAGGAAAACCACCATTGTTGCAGCGTTGTCTCACAAACAGAACCAGAACAAAGAAAATGGACGTTTTGTTTCGTCGATCTTGCTGTTGCTCTTGCTGCCACTGCTATTGATACCGCGGTGCTCACGAGTTTTGCCTGAGGACAGTTACAATGTACTGTAGAATTAAAAAGCACAAGTCTAAGAAGACAAGCACTCCTGCTGTAATCGTACGCGTGACGGGATGGGCGCTACCGGTATGGGAAGTTGTGGCGACAAGGGTTTCGTGTTTCGTTCAGTACCAGTTACGAGTTGAGAGTACAGTACGAAGCTCCCCTCGATGACATACTAACTTAGGTATGTTTGTACAGAATCGGGAAACAGAAAAGATCGCACCACGTTCCCCATTTTTTGTTAATACGTACTCGTAGGTACGTACGGCATCGTACAGTCCCGTGTGAAAGATTGTCACTACCAACTACAATACGGTAGGATAGAGTAATACTACTATCAAATGAGCACCAGTACGAGTTCGTATGTACTCGTACGTCTCAGTGCACCGTACGGTACCGTACGGTACGGTACGAATTGCATTCCGAAATGAGTCGGAGTTGCAGGAGTACGAGTATCGTGTATGGTGGCCCGAAGCGGGTACGTGGTGCGTGCGAATGTGGGGTCTACGAGAATCCAAAAAAGTGTTACGGTAGTGAACAGAGCCTCCGCTCTCCGCTCCGCTCCGGAGCAAAACCTCAAACAAATAAAGACTACGAACGCTACGTACGAGTAAGGCGCCTACAAGTACTACTAGAATTCTGCTACCATATGTAAGTATCGTTGCGTACCAACATCATGCTTACATACTGTATGTACTATAAGTACCTTACGAAAGCTTTCCTAGTGTTGTTTGTTGTTTGTTGTTTCGTGGTCTGTGGTCTAACGGTTCGATGTATGGTACTACGAGTACCGTACGTACGTACCATACAATTTTAGAGCAAAAGTGAAGTTGTTCACGAGATACTCGTGATACATGTTCAGATGGCTGTCCCGTAACAATAGTTAGCAGTTATTAAACGCCTGCATAGTGCTGTAATGAGGATTGTTGTCTATCTCCTATTCAGTACTTCTCCGTCGTTCCCCTGACAGTATGTTCTACTCCCAAACACGAGCACCAATGTATTCTTCAGGGCTCCGAGGTGGGAAAGGCGCAGACTGCAGACTGCAGGCTCCAACGCTGACGAAAGGCGGACTAAACCAACTTACACTAGACAAGCAGGGACTGTACAAAGTCTCTACTATTGTGCGGTATGAGACCCATATACCATCCTTACGTTTCTTTATTTGTTTTGTGTTGTTGGAACAAATGATAAACATGTATAGGATGTGTTGAACAAGGGGCTTAGAGCAATAGACGTGACCCTCATTGGTTTGAACAAGGTATCGGGCCCGGCCTCGATGCTTGCCAATGAGCTGTCAAACATGGTTATCGATGCACGGATGTCAACGGATGATTTCTATGCGGCGCTTGGGGGGATTTCTGGCACGTGTGCGGCCGAGCTTGCCGTTGCAATGGAAGACCACGGAGACCCATATTATTGGAAGGAAGGGTGGTATGGACAAACTCATTACCATCTATACTACTCATAGTACTACTCAACAAGCATGTGCCCGTTTTGTTTCAGAAACACCAATGCCGACTCGGTCTCTTGATGGCTACCAAAGATGTTGAGGACACATTGGTTGTGCTTACCCACAGCGGAAGGGAAGACCTGGCATATGATGTTCTAGTGGGCGCGGCGGATCAGCAAAAGATGTCATTCAGTGCAAGCAAGTTTGGCTTCATGCTATGTGAGTCGGTGGTCATGTCCGATGACCCTTTCCATGCGATTGAGCACCTGGAAATTATGGAGGAATTTGGCGTGGAACGCGACAAGCATTTGGCCTGCTTTGGTGCCTGCGCCTACCGGAAACTGTGCTTCAAGGATCTGGAGTAACACAAGGCGTGATCGTGGAAGATGGAGAAGCTGTGGCCCGACTACAACGTCCATGAGATTCCGACCTCACCGCACTTTTGGAGCGTAGCCTTGTTGGCCCTCGGCGTGCAATATGCCAACGATGCCATGGCTGCTATGGTGGAGGCTGGGGTGGACCAGACGAGGGAGTTCATCCATGCCTTGGTGGTCAGTCTCGGCGTCAGTCTCAAAATTCCGAGGAACAATGCTGGAACAGTCAGTGTGTTTTTATAATTGATCAGACCCTTCCCTCGGAGCTCCCCATCTTTTCCTTTCTCCACGAGCCTAGCTACAGTGCTACGCCGGCACGTGCGAGGACCGCTACTTCGTATCCTGTCAAAACCGCCTGTTTGTCACGAAGCGACTGAATGATGTCGGTGTGGCCTTGGAGAAGTGCAAAGCTAAGGGGGGAATGCCCTTCAAAGTCCTTCTTGTTGACGTTGCACTCAGGGATATTGATCAAGAGGTCTACTGCACTAGAGTTGCTGGACAAGGCTGCATGATGCAGGACAGTGAAGCCTTGGTCGTCGCGTAATGAAAGGTTGGGATGCAAATCAAGAAGTTGCGAGATTATTTGCGAAGGGGCCTCTCTCTCTAGTTTGTATAAAAAATCCTTCCTTGCGGGAGGATTGGTTGAAACCTCCTGCAACCTTGGCCATTGTTTTTGTTGTCCAAAGACGTGATTTGGACGTCGGTTGGCAATGAATTCGTCAATATCGACGTGCTTGATTTGGATTCCGAGAGCGACCAGGAGGGAAACCTCGCCCCGCTGTGCAAACCCAAGATTACCCGGAACCTTCTTTCCCGAAATATCTGGCGCACCCGTGAGGACGAGGGGAACGGCTCCTCTCAATACTGCCAGCAATACCCCACGAAGCCAAACAAGAATCCAAGACGGCCCAAAGTACGCCTCCCAAACAACAGCAAAGCCAATACGGTCCTGAAAACACGCGAGGAACACATCGTTGTACTTGGATTGGTCACCGCCTGGACTAGAGACAAGCATCACTTCCAAGTTGTCTTGAAAGGTAAATCCACACATCGTCGCAGACGCGAAGCCGGTACCCCCCACTCCCTGTTCGAAAAGACTCTTTTCTCCCCGTTGTATCTTGCCTAGTATGTTATAGGAAGAGGTTGGTTGGATGCCGTGGCGATGTGCCTACTGCCGGCCAATGCCTGTGGGTCTCTGAGAAGAGAAGCAATGTACTCGAGTGGGGTGAGGTTGCTGTACGCACCGCCACGACGCTCGCTGAGCTGGAGGCGAGGAACTATGGTGACATAATAACATTCCCTATGTTAAAATAGTAACATTTGGAATATATACATACTACACAATCGAAGCAAAAGCATCGAAATCTGTTTTCAAATTTGGCATCAAAGTCCGGCAGTGTTGTTACAGTTGTGTTTCTATTGTTTTATGAGCGAATGCAGTATGATTTATGCGGTCGTGGATATCCAAGAAATCTTCTATTGTACATGAGGTCGTGTGAGATGTGTCGGGCGTTACTGTTTCGCCGTGACGGCAACAAGGCCCGGGCTTTTTATAAGCTGGCGAAAAGGGTAACTCCAACGATTGTTACCACGGACAAGAATCGCCCAAATACGGTGCTGGCAGAAGACACCCCGAGCAACGCGCCTTCGTCGGTGAGCATTGCGGCGACCGTCTCTTTCGCTTGGTCGTTCCACTTTTGATCACTTCCTTCCACGTAAGAGTTGTGTGAGAAAACCTTTCCGGTGCCGGGCTTGCCGGGTCCGTAGTAGCTTCCGTTGGTCCGTGAACCGGAAATCCACATCGCCTTGGACCCCTTGGAACCATAGTAGGAACCCGACTTGGAACCGGACTTGGAGCCGGACTTGGAGCCGGACTTGGAACCGGACTTGGAACCAGCCTTGGAACCACCCTTAGTACCGTAGTAGTTGCCGCCACCGTAGTAGTTGCCACMACCCTTGCCACCAGACTTGCTACCAGACTTGCTACCAGACTTGCTTCCGGACTTGCTGCCATCCTTGCTGCCATCCTTGCTCTTCGATCCCTTGAATCCCTTGAATCCCTTGGAGCCCTTGGAGCCCTTCGATCCAAAAATTCCTCCGAATCCCTTGCTGCCGTCCTTGGACTTTCCTACGGGTGCCGGCGAAGGGCGGGGAGTCGGTCTTCTCGTGGGGCTGCGGGTCGGAGGGGGAGTCGCTGCTTGGGCCACGGGCGCCGGTGTGGGACGCGGAGTGGGACGCGGAGTGGGACGCGGAGTGGGGTTCGGGGTGGGGTTTCGGGTTGGGCTCTCGGAGGGGGATGTTGTGGGAGCCTGGGTCGGCGACGCCGTAGGAGGACACTGGAGGTTGTCTCGGTCCACCCCGTTCTGGCCACCGTCCTGGCCAATCAGGCTGATCTGGTTTTGCAGCAGCGGACCACATCGTTCGTTGAAGCAATCGTTGTAGTAAACAACACACCATTCGTCCCACTTTTGACCGCAAAAGCTGTCGCGTTCGATGAGGAGCGCAATGGCAGGGTCGCAATCTGGGTCTGAGATGGGACCATCGAGCACCATGCAAGGATCTTGATCCGCGGGACAGTCTTCTCTTTCCAGGAGCACTTGCTCTGAAAATTGAGCGGTTACCGTAGCAGCGCCGAAGAGGGCAACCACTAGAAGACTTCGGAGTGCTTTGTTATTCTTATTCATTTTTGTTTCCGTTTGATTGTCTACCGATTTGATTTTGTGACAATCACCGTAGAGAACCCTTTTCACTCGTTTGATCCACTGTCGTCGAAACTGACACTGAAACCGAAACCGAAACGTCGCTGTTTTGGGATCTAGACGAGAGGTCCCGGTACGCTCAGGCCAACATTCCTAGTACTCGTGCCGTACTATTCACGTGAATTTGTTCGCACGATTTGTTGCATCCGGAAGGGCGGGCATTCTGTCTCACCAAAAACCTCAAACGCCAAAAAGATTGAGTGTTGCGGTCAAACTCGGCGAACTTGCTTTGAAATGCGACTTAAAATTAGTGATTCAATCCCTTGGGAAATCCCTTCAAATCCCTTCAAACGACTCCCTTGTTCAAAAGCATCAACGATTAAAAACACGTCGGCCAGAACGGACAAACTAGTCTTATTACATCGATCGTGGAATCTAGTCACTATCGGAGTTGAAAATTCTGAGGATGTGAGTACGAGTACGTACCTGCCACATACATGGATACGGGAACTACCAGTACTGCAGCACCCTCGCCAGAGCACGCACCCATAATTGTATCCTATTGGTTTTTACGTATAATAGATGAAGTGTGGTTTCTTGGCGGTCACGCGCGAGCGCAGCACGAGGGGAGATATTTTTCAAACGACTTATACTCCGAGGTCATCTCACATGGAACTCACATGAAATGGCAACAATTTTTTCCAATCGTGCCCAAATTTTCATTTTTCCGTACGACTGGTGGGCCGTTGCATGGATCGCGACGTGGATGCGACTGGTAGGTAGTATACTGTACCCACAGAGCATACTGGTACTGTTCTAGAACCCTGTTGCATTGCATGGGACATAGGATGCTGCCTTAAAGAGCTCCTCACCAACAAATTTGTTGTGAGTATTGGAAATCCTTGTTCCTGTGGTGCTTCTTGTCCCTGTGCTTGTCCCTGGTGGTGTGCTTGTCCTTGTTGGTGGTGTGCTTGCTTGTTGTCCTGTCCTTGTGCTTGTCCTTGTGCTCATCGTCACCACCAGTACTAGTACTAATACTTCTTGTTCTGCTACTACAAGGATTAAATTTGAGGGATAACAATTCAGTATATCGTCACAAAAAGTGTTCGCAACCAGTAGCAACCGCTCGCGACCTTTTTTTTAAAAATACGCACCCCTTTTTTTCTCGTGTCCACCAAACCTCCCGTATGTCATGGTTTTGGTCGCATTTAAACCTATATGTAGTTGTGAGGGCTGCATTGGGTTGTTATGGAAAACCAGTGCTACTTCCGTGTTAATGTAAAAGCAGTAACCCTGAGTCCCACCACTGTCAGTTTCACGTTGTTGAACACAAAATTGTTCACGATTAAAAAGAAATGTTTCCCTCGACCACGCTGACCGTGCCATTTGCTTCTCTTTACTGCAGTATTGCTTCTCAAAGAAACCGTACCTTTCATCATGATTACATTTCAACTGACTGTGGGTGGAAACCATTCACATATTCACTATTTGAATTCTAACTTGGATGCCCCTCCGTTTGCACTGTTGCCAAATCAATTGAACCATCTGGTAGTAGTTTAATCAGTTTGTGGGCAAATTCTTGGCATCCAGGCATTTTTGTTTGACCAGCACTATCCCAATGCTGTGTCATACATCTTTGTAGTATATCTGCTGAAGAAAAAGCCTTTTCAAATGCATAATCCAAAATGACATCCTTGTTCATCCACAACTTCCAGATCCCCTTCCTGGTCTTGTAGTAGACCACTGGTGAGGAGCACGTGGATTCTGTATGTATTTAATTGTTTAGTCAAAATAGTCATTACACGCAAAAATAAGGGCCCAAAATCTTTAACTGGATTGTAGATTTGCTAGCCAACTCTATACGATCATAATAATTAATGGATCCTACAATATGCAGTGTGTTATAGTAGTTGGGGTGCATGGATGATACAGAAGAACTGGAAGAGTGACAGGTCCTTACTAGTACGACTACACTGGAGGTTGATTTAGTGGTGCTGCTGACACTGCCAGCAACAAGAAGACGTCAAGTTTTTTAGAAAATTTGGTGCAGAGAGAAATCAACAAGCTGGAAGAGGTTCCTTCCTGGCAAAAATCCCAGCAATGTACACATCTCTGGATAGAGGAAGAAAAACCCTTTCTGACTAAAAGATTCTCTAATGTTTATTGGTCCTTTGTTAGCAAATAGAAAGGATGCGCGAGACAGCTCCAGTTATCGAGAAGCGTTTTCATTGTACTTATAACCTGTTATAATTCGATAGCACTATTTCCGACAGAAAGACGTACTCGAATACAGCACTGTACGTAAGTAGTACGTACACAGATGATCAATTTTCTTTGATTTTGATGGCAACAGAAGTGGTTGGCGAAAAAAGAAATCTCTCAGTTCGTACGAGTACGTACGTACGTTCGGATAATCCGGTGATGGACAAAACAAGACGAGTACGAGTACGCTCGTACTCGTACTCGTACTACTATTTCGTATTTCTGGTGTTCCTTTTTCTATTCATACCGCAACAGCTACTCGAACGCTCAATAGCGATCAGTGATCCGCGAACAGCGATCTCTGGCATTACAGTGATCGAAGAAGATATAAGAGTACTTAACACAATACTTTTACCAGATGAAACCTTGGCATTGATACGTATAAAGTGCCCACCAATTATCATTTCCAACGTTCAACGCGCCGCAAAAAATGTCTCAAGAATCCAACCGCCATCTTCATTCAACATGGCTCACCACCACTGCGCTCGTTTTCGCGAAGTTATTCCTCGTTTCCAACTCTTGTTCGGCCTGGATCACAACGCCTGCACCGTCATCAAAGATATCTCGCGATGGTTTGGATTTTGCAGTACCAACTGCACGAACGAATGGTGACAGAATAGTTTCAGGACTATACACGCAAAATTCTGGGTCTATGTTTGATCAACGAATATTGAGAGCGGTGGAAAGTGGAATGACAACACGAACAACAACAAGAGCGTCACTACGCACCAAACTGTTCGCTGCTGCTTCCGCAGATGGCCCTTTCTCTACATCTACGTCGTCATCTACATCTACGTCTTCAACGGCTGCGCCAGTTTTGACCGTTGAAGGTCTTAGCTGCACTCACAATGGCGGAGAAACATGGCAGCTGAAAGAAGTCAATTATAATCTCCAACGAGGTGCAAAAGCGGCTTTGATTGGTCGTAACGGCACCGGAAAATCCACTTTTTTGAAAATTCTCCACGAGTCCTATTTGATTAGCAATGGTGTGGGGTCGTCTTATTCTTCCTCGACCGACTACAAATATACCGGTAACGTACAAGTTCCCAAAACGATAAGAATATCGATGGTGGAACAGGAGCCACCATTGCCCGCCGATGTAACGGTCGGTGACGCTATTCTAGGGATTACCGAAGCTACTACTACCATCGGGAAGGGGGAGTCTCCCAAAAATAGGATGGATATCGTCCGACGCTATCGGATTGTTTCCCGACAGGCTGAAACCGACACCAATTTTGATCCAGACCTCTTCGTGAAGGCAAGCGCTGATATGGACTTTCTGGGAGGCTGGGACACACTCACCAAGGCGGAAGAAATTGCGACAAAACTCAAAATACACCATTTGCAAGACCAACCATTATCGCTCCTGTCAGGAGGGGAACGGAAGCGGGTCGCTCTCTGTGCGGCACTGATCGAAGAACCTGATGTTTTGCTCCTAGACGAGCCGACAAACTTCCTGTCTTTGGCAGGCGTGGAATGGCTGGCAGACCTGTTGACGGATAAAAACAGCAATCCCAAGCTCACTATACTTATGGTAACTCACGACCGTGCCTTTCTGGAGCAGGTGTGTGATCAAATTGTGGAGCTGGACCGTGGATCGCTTTATGAGCATCCGGGTTCATACTCGGCATACCTTGAGGGAAAACAAGAACGATTAGCTGCCGAGGATGCCGCCATTGCAAATGCCAGAAACAAATATAAAAGGGAACTCGAATGGATGAGAAAGCAGCCGAAAGCACGAGAGAGCAAGGGCAAAGCTCGCATTGATGCCTTCTACAAACTAGAAAAGTCTACCAAGCCACGACCGCGGGATCCAAACCTGGATCTGGTAGACATCAGCAGTGGGGATACGCGACGAATAGGGACCAAAACTGTTTCCATGAAAGGAGTGACTCTCACATTTCCAGTTAACAATGACGACGACAAACAGGCGGGGGAATACAATGTTATGCTGGACGATTTCAGTTACGATTTTTGCAACGGAGATCGCATTTGGTACGTGTATGTTATCAAGTTCTCGTCTTTTTTGTACCATTACTGTTTCTTTCCATTGCTTGTAGTACTGATGAGAAAATCTCACAATACAACCAATATTTTCCATTTAAATCTCACAATACAACCAATATTTTCCATTTGAAACACTTCTGTGACCCTTCTCAGCCTTGCCGGTGCTAACGGTGGTACGTAATTCCTAGATTTTGCATTATGCTATCTTATTGCACCTTCTTCTGACTTGAGAATAGAGCGTGCAATACTTTGAACGATAGATGATCCAACAATAAAAATTTCTTCTCTTTGTTTCCTTTTCCATCATTGTTGCATGGCGTCATCCGTTTTTTTATCAAAGTTGGTAAGACAACATTCACAAAACTTTTGACCGGTGAATTGTATCCCAACAAGGGAGAAGTCGAAATTGGAGAAACTGTAGTTCTTGGGGTCTATGATCAATTGGGCCTTAAATTTGACGAAATTGCTGAAAAGCAAACCGTCCTTGAGTTCGTTGTTGACAAAATCCAAAGCAATGATTCGACATCTCATGGGGAAACACCGAGTCAAGCAAGAAAGTTGTTGAAACAGTTTGAGTTTTCACGTGAACGGTGGCAAGAAAGAATATCTGTTTTATCGGGAGGAGAGCGACGGAGACTGCAGATACTTTCTGTGCTGAGTGTGGTAAGTACACGTATTCAATACAGTGGGCCTTTTTTAACTCCTCGCGAGAGGTGATTCGATCGAGTTCTATTTGCCGATTGACAGAAACCTTGATAGAGATATTCGCACTCATCGTGCTGAATGCTACATGTTTCCTTTGACATTTAGAAACCAAACTTCTTAATCCTGGATGAACGTAAGTAATGGCAAAATGCCTTTGCAATCGGATGAAATATTTACACTCCGTTGCTTTCAATGACTCACAACGCAATGTGCACAATTCGATAGCAAGCGTGGACTGCGATCTCGACACTCTGTCAGCGTTGGAAAACTACCTAGAACAATTCAAAGGAGTGCTTCTTGTCATCAGCCATGACCGTGCCTTCGCCGATAAAGTAACTGATCATTTGTTTGTTTTTGAGGGTGAAGGTGTCGTCAAGGACTTTCAGGGCAGTCTTACCGAGTATGGATCCTGTCTTGTCGAGTTGGAGAATCGAAAAATCAAAAACTCTGTCGCTGGCGGATCGGATCAAAGCGACACATCAACTGATTCAAAACAGACGAACTACAAAGAAGATCGTGCTAAGCGCAACGAACTGAGAAATTTCGTCCGTCAAACAAAAAAGGAAATGAGCAACCTCGAGCGGTCTTTGGAGAAGCTTAAGCCCAAGGCAACGAGTGTACAGTCAGAGATTGATGGTACCAGTAGCGATGCAGGTTGGACAGTTTTGGCAGAACTTACTGACAAACTGAATGCTATCAATGATGAAATTGAAGAAAAAGAACTCAGATGGCTTGAACTAGGCGAGGAGCTGGAAGGATTGGAGTTCAAGGACTAATTTGCAAGTTTGCTAGCAAAAATTGCGACCAAAAACTAAAAGCAAAACACCACAATTGTCATTGCGATAGTCTTTATTGCTGCCAGGTCATATTGTATTCTTCAATAGTATCTTGTACAGATGAATTCCATGTGACTACTCGTAGCAGGTACCCTCAGCCTCAAGAATATCAAGTACTACTCTATTGCCCTGATGTAAGCACACACAATTCACCACTGCCGGAAATATTTTCTTCCGTACAACAAAAATGCTAGATTTTCCTCATGATCATCATTGAGTACTTTACAGGAACATAAAATGCTTCCACACACTGGAATACCTTCATTAGAATAAAAATAAGGGATCTGGAAGAAGTCTCAGATTGATCAGCCAAGCATTTTTTTGGTAGTAAGAGTCTTCCATATCAGTAAGATCCATACTATCTGTGGTAGCTTCCTAGGTACAATTTAGTACCACCAGGAAATATTTTGATGTAAATTACTTATGTTTTTTAAAATTTTGAGACAGCTTTAAGTGAGACAGGTTAAGTTGGGAGGAAGGCAAATGAGGTGTATTGTTCTCTCTGTATCACCCAGACTACTAGAAGTCAATCAGCAAAGCCCATGAAGAAGATCACAGAACCAAAAAAATCTTAATATTATATTTAACCTCGTGAACTAGAAGAGGCACTATATGGCCAGAACCAGAGCCTCTCCGGACCAGGGAGAAGAATGCTCCTAGCTGCACCTAGGGGTGGCGCCTCCCTCTGAGGAGGTTTTGTGGAGGTGCAACCAAGTTCTATACACACTGATAGGCCAATGAAGGCCCAAGGCTGGACTCAGAGGACATAAAAGCAGTTGGTTCACAGTTTGGATGGATGAGAACCAAGCCCGTAGGTTGGGGGTGCTCAAACCCCAACCTGTACTAGGCAAGTTACCACACACAGTGATCAAGGAAATGTGTGCCACGTACACTGCCAAGCCAATTAAGGCAAATCTCACCCAGTGGGCGAGAACACATGTAGTCACAAATAAAAAATAAAAAATAAAAGCCAAAAAGAAAAAGAAAAAAGGAAACGTCACACTTCTTTCACCAAATTACAGTTGAGCCCGCCCAAAGGAGCAGCTGTTTGGGTATCTTCTCAAAGAAGACACTGGAACAAATAAAGCAATCAATTCTGTCACCGCTAGTCATGGGGTTAAAAACTTGGGGTTGTTGCTGTTTCTGTCCACCACATAAGACAGAAACAACAATAATCATGACCAGAAGCACTGAGGCTTCCGGTCCTTGAGAACTGGGGAAGGATCAGAAAGCTCTTCCAGTCCATAAATAACTGGCTGGGGTTGTTGTTGTTGCTTCTGGCATGAATGTCGGAAACAACAACAACCAGACCAGAAAACTCTTCTGGTCCGTAAAATAGGAACTGCATGGAGATGCTGGGGAATCTTCTTTTAAACTGAGTATTGGTCTTGGTTGAATACTGGGGCTGGGGTTGTTGTTGTTGCTCTCTGGCATGAATGTTGGAATCAACAACAACTGCAACTAGACTGGAAAACTCTTCCAGTCCGTAAAATACTGGAACTGCATGGAGATGCTGGGGGATCTTCTTTAAAACTCATCAGTATGATGTAGCATATGCTCCAGGCGTTGTTCTTCAATAGGTCTTGATTGAATACTGGGGCTGGGGCTGGGGCTGTCCATCATGGTAGTAGTAGTAGTAGTAGTAGTAGTAGTAGTAGTAGTAGTACTAGTAGTACGTCACAAAAAGTGTTCGCGGGGTTTGGTCGCAACCCCGCGCGTGTAGTTTTTGTGCGACCACTTAACACGGTGAAGTTATGATTATCAAGCTTACTGACAACCCCCTATTTGTGATTATTTTTAAGTCACAATGCGCATTCCTTCTGCGCACCAAATTATTCTGCCTGTATTCAACCCAGCATACTCTCTCATCCTCCACTCCATATTTTTACGTTGGGGGGTTGTGATACACAACCTCAACTGATACGACAACAGTTCTCCCGACCAGGACTCTTGGGTCAAAAAAGCAAGATGTACACATGCAATTAGTATTACTCTCCAATAAACTTTTTGTATTCACTATTGAGTGTCAACGATTTGCTAATCTACAGTTCTAGAATCAATTTATTCCTGTGGCTATTCGTAGCATTTGGACAAGAAATTACATGACGAACCGTGTTACTACTATGTTCAATGAATGAATTTTACGAATACTTTTTATGGAATACTAAACTTCTTCTGYGACACCCCCCACCGTTCCTGCAATTAAATTGTCTCTTGTACACKGTTTCAGCAGTGTATTGGTTAGGTTTCTGAACRGTTCACMAACATAAATGTCGTCCATCATGGTAAGAACGTCAACCCTTGGTTCTGTGAAAATTTCACTTAGCAAGCRCTCAGTCCCTTTTGTATTCCCATTAAAATTGTTATTATTCTTGTAACAAAATAATAAAACTCCAGATTGTCTGCACTACTGTATGCCCTGTAGTATGGGTGTAAAACCTTCACTTCCTTATCCTTCATGTCCCAATYGGAAACTCTCACTGTTCCTGGGAATCCGTCGGGTACATTTCCATTTTCACTGTCCTCTGTAAGAAAGATAAATAAACGTGTCAATCATTAGCATTATTCTGGAAGACAGATCATTACAGGACAATTAATTTGTAGTCAYGTACCAAGCCATTTTTTTCTGGCATAACTCTGTGAGTTGTGTCGTCTTTTGTTGAGCACTTGCGGCAAAAGGGTATTTTCTAAGTACAGACAAAGTTYGTTGTCACCACTGAACCCCTGGCAGCTGCTAACACAACCTTCCTTGATACTTAGCTTGTCGACACACATATTTGTTGATCTTTTCATCCATCAAAAATTTCATGTCCCCAAAGAACTTGGATTCGATGTACCCTTGAAAATTTTGATATTTTCTCAC